GTGGTTTAACAAACCAGGGAAATTAAAATGTTACATCTCAGCTGTCTGTTGTGTTATGTTAATTGTATTTCGTCCACCTCTCTGCACACTGCTTGTAAAGTTTGAACAAAGCCTCAATGGATTAAAAAAAAAGGAACAAAGAATGTTATTTTGTGTTTTTTTTTAAAGTACTTACTGAAGTACAGTTTGCACTAGTTCTCAACTTAGGGAAAGTATCTTAAATCTTAACTACATTTGTCTGATAGATTTGGTTCTTCTGAAGCTTTATAAACTATTTAAAACCCTCTTGGATCAGCTGATCATAGACATTAAGATTGCTGTATATGTTTGTTAGAAATAAGGCCATCAACTGGTTAGCTTAGCTTAGCATAAAGACTGGAAACAGAGGAAGACAAAGCCAGCCTGTCCAAAGGTAACAAAATCCACCTATCAGCAGCTCTGAATCCAGTTTGTTTAATCCATACCAAATCAGAGGAGTAAAAACATCAATAAGACGTTTAACAGGGGATTATGGGTCGGGCTATTTCTTGACTGGGACCTAAACAAGTTGCCAAATTGTTTTTACATTTCAGTTTTTGTACAGAGATATATAAAGTACACTTAAATGTGTATTTTGTCACTCACTATTTCCCCCTATTCCTAGTATATATACTAAACTAAGCTAATCTAAGTGTCTGATGGCTGCAGCCTGTGTCAGTGAGAGCGGTCTGACTGGTTGGACTGCTTCTAATGATTATGATCTCATTCTTCACCTTGAACACACTCCAGCACTGCCTGTACAGGTGAGACTAACTGACTGCAAACGTCCCGTCTGACTGGGAGATAAATAAAGGGTTTTGTAAATATCAAAATTGCATGAAATATGCTTGTAAAGTCTATTTTATGAATTCCCTGGATAAAATTCTTGTTTTATTGTCGACTTATTAGAGTCAAAGGTTTTCACAGAGGGGAGTTTTGATATGGGTTTGTACCACTACATAAATCCAGAAAAACTGTCAGCAGCCTTTAAGAAAAATCTATTCTAGTTTTTTAGGGAAACAGATGTTATGATCCTTAACGCAATCATCTATAATCAGTCTATACATCTGGCTATTGATGATATATGAACAAACCACTCAGAGTACAGATGGGAGTGAAACTCATTTTGATAACAAATAAAAACTGGCACATTTAGAAATGTCTATTAATGTTCACTCTACCTCTGAATATATAAATACATAAATGTGCATGTTGACTCACCCACATCCTTGTTGGCCCTCCACAGGAACTCGGAGACAGACGGCTCCTGAGAGAAAACCTGCTCATTAGTAAAGTGTAGTAAATACAAAGTAAAATATATACGTAATATATATGTATAATGTATATATATATGAAGCAATGATTAAATGTCCTTTTACAGAAGCTTCATTGGGTGCAGGAAGATCCTCCTTTGAATGCACACTTTTATCGTCATACCTTTAAACTGTAACCTTTAAAGAAGGATCACTGTGTAGATGACACTGAGGATGATTGTGCAAGCTGTGTTTTAAATAGTATGTATTCTTATTTATACATTTTACATCTATTTTCCTTTATTTGTATCATTTATTTTGTACAGACTGCTGGTAGATGTGTATATAACTGACTGTCTGCACTCTGGTTAGACCCTCCTCATTTCGTTACACTCTGTTTGCATTATGTAATGACAATAAAGTAATCTAATCTAATGTGACTCCTTATTGGCATTTCTGGATTCAGGTGTACATTTGAAACTTCTCATTAAAGTAAATGCTGATTTTCCATTTACATTCTGAGGGAAAACAATTGTTTTTCTTTTAGTGGCGATGCTTAAATACCTGTGTCATTAAAGCAGCTCTGTGAAGGTGTGTTACTTCCAGGTGTTTCCATGTGAACTGTGAGGAAGTGTCGCCCCCTAGTGGACAAACATCTTTACTGAAGTTAAATTCTGAGGTACTTTAATTTACATGACATGACATGTTACTTGTTAGACGCTTTTATCCAAAGCGACTTACATACTCAATACTGTGGACAATCCCCACAGGAGCAATTTGGGGTGAAGGGTCTCAGGGACACAACGACATGCTGACTGCAGTGGGGTTTGAACCTGTGCTCCCCTGATCCGAGCATTAGTCCACTGCGCCACACGCCTCATTTACTTATCTTGAATATGTTTTTATGTATTAATTTGTCTTTCAAATAAAGTATACTGTGTTATTACCCCTGACTTTCATTCTCTACTATCAGAGTCCTTTCTGTACGAAGCCATCGTTGTTCATTCATTACAAGCAGAGGGTCTTTAAGCAACGACCTGCAGAGTGAACGCTTCATCTCAAAGCAGTTTATCAAGATCAACATTAAACATTCAAACACTGTGTTCGTTTCTTTGGATTATGCAGCCACATATCCACTAACAGTGTCAGCGAGAAAGATGTGGAAAATCATCTTCACATTATTGAGGTTTTAAGAAAATACCTTTTATTTCCTCGATTAGAGTTAATGTCCTCCTTGAGCTCTAGAGACAAGACTAAGAGATACATTCAATGATGCTGACGCCACAAACACTCAGTATGAAGTCAGACAGTGTGTGTGTGTGTGTGTGTGTGTGTGTGTGTGTGTGTGTGTGTGTGTGTGTGTGTGTGTGTGTGTGTGTGTGTGTGTGTGCAGCTGTTCTCTGTTTACACTGATGGCAGATATAAATAATCTCCTCTCTTGATGAGACGGTCTCACCTTGATGCCAGGTGCTGCTTCCAAAGAGAGAGAGAGGAGCGTGCCACAGGGGAATGATACTCATTAATTTTATATTAAACAATATTTCTTACCAAAGGAACTGTTAGCAAATGAGATTATAATTGATATATGATATATTTTCCAATACAGATGTTCTGTGAAATTGCAACTCAGTGTTTCTATAGTTTAGTCATGACACTTTTACTTACAAAAAATATATTTTGTTTGAGTGGAAAAAGAGCAATCGGATCCCATTGAGTTCGTGTTTGTAAAAGTCCAATAGTTGCAGAATCTGAGCTGATATACATAACTAGAGAATTTCAATTTGATGCAAATGTATACTTCTACTTTACGGAGGAAGATCAGGGCCTCATGTGAAATGAAATATGTGTGTTTATGTCTGGAAGAAAAAAAATAGAAATCTGACCAAAAGTATACTTCTATAAAAAACAAATTTGGAGATAATTCATATACAAATTAATTCAGCCTTTTATTCTCAGGACAAAACAAAAAAATCACTTTTGTTTCAGATCTAAAAAATATTTCAGTTCAGTCAGACAACTCACGTGTTTCTTAACATGTTTATTAGAAGCAGCATATAGTTTGAGTTTGGCGTCCAGGCTCGGGCCTCATCACTCCACAGATTTACAAAGAACATTGAGTGATGATTAGATAACTATCCCCCGAGCCTACAGGTGGAAGCTGGGGTGGAAGCTGGGGTGGGAGCTGGGGTGGAAGCTGGGGTGGAAGCTGGGGTGGAAGCTGGGGTGGAAGCTGGGGTGGAAGCTGGGGTGGTGGTGGGGTGGAAGCTGGGGTGGAAGCTGGGGTGGAAGCTGGGGTGGAAGCTGGGGTGGAAGCTGGGGTGGAAGCTGGGGTGGTGGTGGGGCAGGCGAGCAGCAGCAACATGAAACACAGCAGCAGGAGCATGAACGTAGCAATAGCAAGTGAACACAGCAGTGGCAGCAGCAGCATAGCGAGGCAGAGGCAGGAAGACCTGGCAGCTTAAATAGAGCGGCATGTTTAGGAGAATGTGTTTGGTTGGTTGTAAGAGGGACGAGGTGCGTCACGTGTTAATGTATCATTGGTGCTCGAGTTGACTGCCTGAACTAGCTCGCAGGCTTCACCCCATTTGTGACACTAATCATCTTCTGTACGACTCCAAATATTATATATACTTTTGACTCGACCACAATTATTTTGGCAGCTTCAGTTACTTAACTATTACTTAAATACAAGATCAACAAATTAATGATGATGCTTTTCCGATTACATAATACATACCTTTATGCACCAATTTGTGCTTTTGGTAAGTTAAAGGTGGGGTAGGTAATTTTGGAGAAACCAACTCGAGTGCGCTAACATTTGAAAATACACAGCCGGAAAAAATCTGCCACTTCCTTACAGAGCCCCTCCTCCAACACACACGAACGCGCACATGACCAATTAGGGCACGAGATAAGTTTGTGCACAGATGGAAGGCTGACAGGCAGGTAGGCCATCCAGTTATTTTAGCCGGCCGGCTCAGATGATTGGTCGTGCTTTTTACAGTACTACAGCTTCCACAGATGACATTTTTTTAATGGATTTTTGGTCAAAGCACTTAAGATATTCATTGCTATCGGGATGTTAAGAGCATTCCATGGAATATAACAAAAAGTGTATCTCGAGCCGGTTTCTCAAACTTACCTACCCTACCTTTAAGTTTGTTTTGATGCTAACATTTGAAACACAGACACATACAAGTAATACAAGTTTGAGTTTATACATAATAGATGCAGCTTTTACACATTATTTCTCACCTTAACTAATGTGCATTTAAAAAAGAGGAATAGTTTCGGCGAAAACTAAAAGGTACCATGGGGTCAGATTAGAATTTTCTAAAGGGGGGTTCGTTTAGCATGAAACACCTGAAATAACGGATAAGTTAAAAAAGAAAGTAGAAAGAAAGTGAGGTCATAGAAAACTATTTCTGCTAAAAAGTGAGCAATGATTGAGAGTCAGAGCGAAAAATTTCAGATGTGTGTATCTCACACTGCACTGTGACTTTAATTCATGTTGGTATTCATGTTTTATTATCTTTGCTTTTAAATGCCATTTCATAATATGTTTCTTAATGCTCTTAATGTATTTCATTTTGTAAAGCACTTTGAATTGCCTTGTGTTGAAAGGTGCTATATAAATAAACTTGCCTTACCTCTTCTTAAATTCTGGATCATGTTCTGAAGTACAAAAGTGACAACAAGTGCTCAAACTACAAACTACACTTCATCGAACATGTTTGAAGATTCATTATCAACACACTTTCTCAGACTGTGTTATAAAGAGCTGGTTTGATGTGTAAATTGGCCCCATGTCCTCAGGGTTTCTTCACCACCTGTTGGAACAGAAGAAACACGTTAAAGGCGACAAACACACTTTCCTTTGCCCTGAAAGCAGATGAATGAAGGGAACCCAGCGTGTGTTTTCTTACCTTTCAACATTTGTACAGCGTGTTCAGTCTGCTGATGTCGTTCCTGCTCATCTGATTGGCCGTGCCGAACTCTACGTTGGCGTTGGGGATCGGCACCATGGTGGGCATATTGTTCCCGCTGAAGGCATACCTGGAAACATTAAGAGCACAGAGGCTTCATTATTATTAGCTTGTATATATATTAAACATTTAGAAACCATTAGCCGCTTTCACACCAAGTACTTTGCCGTACTTAGTTCCTAGAACTCTTTAGTCCCGGAACTGTCCTAGTAAATCGCGTTCACACCGGAATAAGTCCCTGAGGGAGGATTATGCAAATGAAGCCGCTGACGTCACTTCTTCTTCTTCTGCTTTGGGTTTACTGGCAGGCCGCAAACAACTTCACGGCGTATACTGCCACCCGAAGTCCCAGGTAAATCGCCAGAAGCGCCGACACCTCCTCATCACTCCACCGCTCCCATGTTTTATTTTGTGTTGCCATAAGTTAGTCTCTCTCCGTTGGTGCGCTGGGCTAATGCTAATGCTAATAATAGGAAACATCGTGGAAGGAAGTCAGGCCGCGCTCGATGATGGAGCGCTCACGAGAAGCTGAGGAGAAAGAAACAAAGCAGCTGTGGTTCAATGGAGGTCAAGGGTCACATTCAGGTTCTTAGACTTTTCCTCAGAGGTGGGAGAAGTACTCAGATCTTGTACTTGAGTAAAAGTAGAAGTACCAGAGTGTAGGAATACTCTGTTACAGTAAAAGTCCTGCATTCAAAATGTTCCTCAAGTAAAAGTAGAAAAGTATTATCATCAAAATATAGTGAAAGTAGCGACAGTAAAAGTAGTCATTGTGCAGATTGGTCCATTTCAGAATAATATATATGATATGTTTTATAATGATTGATCATTAAAGTGTTCTCAAAGCTGGTAAAGGTGCAGCTAGTTTGAATGACTTTGTATACTGCAGGGTAGCTTGTGAATTTCCTCCAGGTGGAACTAAAGTCTGATTTAACACTTGATTATATTTCACATTATTAATCCAGATCTGTAAAGTAACTAAAGGTATTAAATACATGTAGTGGAGTAAAAGTACAACGTAGCAAACAATTGCACTTAAAGGGCCCATGTCATGGCCATTCCCACTGATCATAATTACATTGTTGAGGTATACTAAAATAGATTTATCCTGTGCAATTTTCCAAACTCACATTGGTTTCGCATACAGCATCTCTGTCAAGTATGTGTATTCAGCAGTATTCACTCTCTCCACTAAACGACTCGTTGGAGCTCTTGCCCCCCCCTCCCTGTGAGCCTAGTGTGCTCCGATTGGTCAGCTCGGCCACTCTGTTCTGATTAGTCAACCACCAGAGAGGCTGCGCCCATGTCTAACAGTGCTTTTTCCGGCTGCTCTCAGCGGAACATCAGTCTTATCATGGCGTCGGTCCAGACGTATATTTTATACGCTAACTAACCAAACTGTACCTACAACTGTTGTTATAGAAGAGTGTGACGGCCCCAGGGCCTTTGTCTTACGATGGGGTGGAGCTGAAGAGGCTAATCAGCGCGATCACGGACACCTGGCCGGAGCCGAGGTGCTAGCCAGCTGCCCGGAGTCACACGGGCCCCTCTCTCTCTCCAAAGCGGCTCAGCGATCCTCTCCCCTCACCACCTATCTCTGCATTTACCACAATAAATGTGCCGTGGTTTTGTAAACTCGTGTATGTCTCCTTGTCTTTCCGTTGTGGCCTACGAGCCGGTCATAACAAAGAGTAAGTTATTTTTACCTGTTATAAACTACTACTGTTTGATGAGAAATCAAATCATGGTTTGCTATATATGAATGATATGTTATAGGAGCAAATAATTCAGGGAAGAAAGGATAGGCCTACTAAGTATTTCCATTAAACTTTATTTTTAGAAATGTACAAAATGAACGTAAATATACATATATACACGGTATATCGTCAATTACTCCCCGTTGTCGGCATCTTGCCTATAGCAGCCGGGGCTTGAGGCCTCAGTGTGGTAGTCCGGTCCCCGTCATGTATTGTCCGGCAGGATCTGGCTGGACGAAATCAAATGCAAATCACAAAATATTAGAGAAACTTAGTTATTTTAGATTCGTTAGTAGTAGTTGTGGTAGGAGTGTGGATCTATATAATCCATCTATCTAATCAACACAGTAAGCTTGCCAGCTAATATGCTAACCTAGCTTTGTTTACCTTGGTAGCTAACGTTAGCTCGGAGGAACGGCAACTATAATGTAGAGTAATAAAACTACTATGAACAAAAGCTAGTGGTTCATATTAGGCTAGCAATAACGTGTTTATAATTGCAGTGTTATACGGGTAGTCTGCTACGTTCGGTCATACATTGTAACGGTCATGAATACATTGTTTTTGCGCTAGCATGTATAGCTAGCCTCGTTAGCTATACATGCAGTATATGTACTGTCACAATGTACGGCAAATCACCCGGAGTATACTGTATGAGCTGGGCTTGTTTAGTGTAATAAAACCACTATGAACAAAAGCTAGTGATTCATATTAGGCTAGCAAGAACGTGTTTTCCAGAGCAAACCCATGTCTAGCTCCGTTGGTTAGCTCGGTAGCATACACCCTACACCAGCTATAATGTAATTACGTTTCGCGACTGACCGTACGGCAAATCACCCGGAGTATACTGTCTATGAGTATTTCGTGTGTGAATGCAGGCATTCTCCTGCTATGAGATACATGTACTGTATGCAAGGCCATCTGCTGATATTAGAGTTGATATATGTGTTACAGGCTTGGCCTGTCACTTTAAGAGTAGCAGCCGCAAGGGGTTGTGGGTTTTTGGAAGTCCGGTGTGTGTAAAATGTGATGGCCAAGGCGAAGTGCGGAGGTATGAAGAGAGAGACGAAAGTATAGAGAAAGTGGTCAGAAAAGGAGTATAGTGTCTAGTTTGTATGTATTCAATTCAGTGTCCATGTAATTGAAGAACGTAAATAAACGGAGGTTCTTCCCACGGCACCCGAACGCATCGTCTTCATCCTTTTTCCCCTCGAAATATCTGGACAGCTAGTTACCGGCTGACAACGAGCCAAGTCAGAAACCACCGGTGTGTATCCGAAACTACGGTTTCGGTGCCGAGATACCGTCAGTATAAAAGGTAACATTGGGGGCTCGTCCGAGATTTTTTTTTTCTACGGGGGAGAAGAGTGGAGTGGATTTAATGGCAGCGTTCGGAGCTAACGCTAATGCTAATCACAGACTGAGACAAGCTGATGCAGCTAACGGAAAAAGCCCACGGAAAAGCTCTAATCCATTCTTGGTGAATATTGATGAGGCTGTTCAAAGTCAGGTGGACATGTTTGACCAGACAATTATGGATTATACTGGGTATGGGGACTGCACCAACCCCTTTCTGACTAGCATGGAGCTAACGCTAGCCGGAGCCGCAAGCTACGCCACGCCGCCGGAAGCATCACTGGCGCCAACTAACCCTTTCATCATGCCGACAAAGGAGCAAGCACAGCCAAATAGTGAGTTTCTCACCCCCTTTCCACCAAAATGTGACCGTTTAATGAGCATGGTATCAACTTCAGCTAAACCAGCTAATCCTTTCACCTCCATGGACTATAGCCACTCTATGCCGACCATCCCAAGTTACTCAGCTCATTCACAGTGCCTTCAGCCGCCAGTGTCACCATTAACACCCTGTATGCAGCAGCCTGCCACACTGCCTTGTAAAGTACAAGCTCACACATGCTCAGCTGTGCACTGTGGGACCGCACCTGGCCAGTGTGAGTGCGATCAGCCTAACATGAGGAGAGCTTGGTCTGAACCACGCAGCTCTGCAGCTCGTGCAGCACACAGAGAGGACTATATGGACACAAGTGATGAAGATGAACACCGTGGACACAGAGAGAGAATACCAACATTACGCCCAAGCCAGTTTGATGGGGCTGGCTCGTGGAGAGACTTCCTCTTCCATTTTAAAGGATGTGCTGAGGCTAACCACTGGTCAGAGAGGACTATGGCTGTGCATCTCAGATTCAGCTTGACTGGACCCGCGGCTGCCATCATCCACAAGAACCCCAGATCTACTCGCTGGAGTTATCAGCGGATGGTGAGTGAGATTGAGGCGGCCTACGGACCGTGTTCAGAACATGCTGCTGCCATAGGCATTGAACTGAGACAGAGAGTCAGAGGACCGGGGGAGGCCCTGCACCTGTTAAGAGACGACATCTATGAAAAAGTGTCAATTGTGTATGCTGACCGTAATGAGCCGGAGCAGGACGTCATCAGTGTGGAGATTTTCACCAACGCCCTTGCCGATGCAGAAGTGATCCAAAGACTACTGGAGGACAAGCCGCGCACCTTGGCTAGAGCCTACGAGATAGCCCACAGGTATGAAGCCACCAGACGGGCTGCCAGAGCCGTCACACAGCTAATGCAGTCTGGTTATCGCAATGCTGCAGAGCGGAGACCCAGGGCAGCTATGGTGCACGAAAATGCTAATGTTTCCGCCTGTATGGAGGCTTTCGGGGTGGCTGAAGAGTGGGCTGCGGAGCCCGCTAGCACCCAGAGTAAAGCACCGAGGTTTAACCAGCAGTGGTCGCCTAACAGAGCTAAACCTGTACAAATGAACTCTAGAGAAGTCATCTGCCACAACTGCTCTGGTGTGGGGCACATACAAAGGAACTGTCCCTCTTCCCGAAAACGCAAACAGCATGCACCTAATAACACTCCAGCTCCTGACTCAGGTACGGTGGTCACATGCAATAAAGGCTCTGATGATGACATGAGTATCCGGATACTGATACAGGGACATGAACTGTGTGCTCTGCTCGACTCTGGCGCTCGGAGGAATGTACTCCCCCTCCGCCACTTCAACGCCATTCCTGTTGAATCGAGGCCTCAAATCCAGCCATCCATCGTACAAGTATTACAAGGCATCGGTCCCGAGGGCATCGCTGTCCGAGGGGAAGTCAACCTGCCAGTTCAAGCCGGAAGCAAGGTAACCCATGTGAACTTTATTATAGCAGACACAGCTGAAAATACAGAGGTTATCCTGGGGCACCCTTTTCTGCTGCAGTCACATGCTCACTTGGACTATGGTCGCAGGGAAATCACCCTCTTCGGTGAGAGAGTGCCTCGCTCAAAACCCAGCAGACAGCCTGAAGTGCACCTCGTCAGGGTATCCC